CCACATCCCATCTAATGCACACAAGTGAGATTGGTGCCGGGAAATGTGATGTAAATTCTTCCAACATATATTTGCAGGTGGCCTGCACTTCCACCGTCTTCACTCGCGTTTCCCGATCGAATTGACACGCGCAGTGGCCCTGCAGGAGCGGGATCCCCGGACTGGCTTCAAGCTTTACGCACCTTGCCAGTTCTGGGGCATCTTCACGGCCATCCAAGAGCTTCTGCTGAGCAAAGGCATGTTGATGGTCGACCCGACGCGCTCAAACGGCTTAAGCCTCCGGAACAGTTGCATCAAGCTGCGGAGGACTTGGTGGCTGAAAAAATGTTGGTCGTCGCATAGTGAGCTTCCCTATGCCCCGCCCAGTAAGGTCAATCTTTCCATAGTTAGCTTTCCAGTTGCTCCGCCAAAAAAATGCAATTCAACAAAAAGTTGGACACAATAGTGGACCCCCACAAGAAACATACTATTGAGGATCATGGTCATTCATGGATTTTTTTTGGTTTGCTGAACTTCCTCCTTTGGAAAAACCGTTTGATTTTTATTCCAAGAAGAATGAAGCGAAGTAAAAGGAACAAAACTGTAGCAAAGGAACAGGTAAAAGGAATGTTTGAAAAAAATCACCTCAGACAACAGCTGGACACCTTAGTGGACCCCCACAACAAACATACTATTGAGGATCAGGGTTGCTCATGGACTACCCCCTTTTAAAATTGTTTGGCTGCTGTTTTTTTGGCGGGTTTTAATACGGCATCATATATTTTGGGAAATCGGGCATTTCTGGAAATCCCAAAAGAATGGGACTAAGAAAGCAAGAGAAAAAAGCTTTAGCAAAGGAAATGGTAAAAGGAATGTAGGATTTTTTTCACCTCAGCAGCAGCTGGACACCATAGTGGGCCTCCACAACAAACATACAATTGAGGATCAGGGTTGCTCATGGACTACCCCCTTGAACAATTGTTTGGCTGCTGTTTTTTTTGGCGGTTATATAATGCATCATAATTTTGGCATCATAGTTTTGGGAATTGGACATTCCTGAAAATTCCAAAAGAATGGCATTAAGAAAGCAAGAGAAAAAAGCTTTTGAAAAGGACAGGGTAAAAGGAATGTATGGCATTTTTTCACCTCAGGCAGCAGCTTGACACAATAGTGGACCCCCACAACATACATACTATTGAGGATCAGGGTTGCTCATGTACTACCCCCTTGAAAAATTGTTTGGCTGCTGTTTTGAGACCACCGCCCTCTAAGCTCGTCAAGCCCGGAAAGAATTACGGGACCTGCTCAGAAGAAAGTGCAGGTTTTGAAGGTAGTGAAGGTGACAGAGGCGCGAGTGAGGGCAGAGCTCCGGGCTCAAGGCTACACTGCCTCGCGGACCTCGCAACTGATGCGAGATTGCGGGGCTGCATGAACTGATTTGTGACAACCGCAGCTGTCCTCGAAGCTCAAAAACCGCACCCTGTCACTCCTGAGACCAGAAGACTCAGCAATGGCCGGACCAGCGCAGAAGAGAGTCCAGGCGCTGAAGGTCGTGAAGGCAACGGAGGCAGCCGTGAGGCGTGCCCTCTGTGCGCAGGGGTATCGGGCTGCTCGCATCTCTCAACTTGAGAGACTGCGAGCAGTATCCACCCCGGAGCGCGGCGCAGAGGAGGCGCAGGACCTCCGACATGAAAAATGAAACAACCATGCCTCCCACACAGAAACACATCGATCGTCGATCCTCAGCCACATTCATGATGATAACACTGATAGCACGAATGATGCACAATCAATTATATAGATCCTACACGCCCAACATAGATTGCTTGAGCAAATAGGTTGATCACCGATGACCCGATACAGTTCCTCGGACAACGACTTGAGAACAGAGTTTATAAGAGCTCAAAACATGATAATATTTAATCTCTATATTTATATTTATATACACATATGATAATGATCTGCCATTCAGGATTGAGACATCTCTTGGCGCAGGAAGATCAATGGATGCAATTTTATTTCTATCTCCCATCTAGCTATACCTATCTATCTATAATTCTAGACCCCCTGGACCCCTGACACCCTCCGGCAGATCGACCGAAAATCGCAACATAGGAGCAAGCCGGTGAGTGTCGAGAGAACCACCGAGTGCGGTTACTCGTTTGTCAAACGTACGCTCCACCGGGCAAAGCCCTACACAAACCGGTGGCGCGCAGCAGCACAACGGCGTGCACTGGCGCACCCTCACGCACTGGCAGTGGCGGCCGTCCAGGCGCAGGTGCGCCCGTTAGTGGCGCGCCTGGAAGCAAGCTAAGGCCGGGGACTGCGGTTGGGGCCCGGAATCAGACTGAGAAATCATGTGTTCGCAAAAGGCAAGTTGTATCTTCCATGTAACGAGACATATCCAACTTGCGAAATGCAATCAAGGTGTTTCAAACCATTAAGGATTGGTGTGCAAGTTCAATGCTGCTCATTCGAGATTCATATTTGGCAACTAGTTAATAGCCTAGTCTTTACATCCCGGACTCCCCAAAAACATCGACTGTACACCATGATATAGATCGAAAGGTAATGGCCATTCCACTTCGCTAAATTGCGACATTCCTAATTCCAATCCACTGGCCTCTGCACATGGCACATTCCCGCACGGTTCCCCGTCATGGTCTCAGCAAGAGGACGGCTTTGGGAACCGGTGTGGGGTATCTGGGTCTATCTGCGTATTATCTCGGTGTGTGTGTGTGTGTAACATCTAAATAGATGTAAAACTTCTCTCTCTTTTCTTCCTTTGTCCTCTCCCTTTCTAATTCTAAATTCAATGCAGGGGGCCACCGGGGTCCCGGGGGGGTCGGTGGCCACCGAAGACACCCCCCCGGGACCCGTGTAAACGTACCTGCATTGTTTCGTATCTAATCTGCATGTTTCAGGATTCAGTTCCTGCCGGATCATATAATGATCCATTCTTGTCTAGTGTGATTTCCATGGTGGCTCCGACATGGTGCCATGGAGCCATTTGAGGCAACCCTCTTCAGGGTGAGTGGTGACAGTCTTGAATTCTGAATTCACACATTTTAACTTAGTAATTCGTTTAAGTAAAGGGCAACAATCAGCCTTGCGGTTTATCAGCCTTTTCGAGTGTCCCGCTGCTCCTATTGTCCCAGGGACCCCAGTGCTGCGTTCTTTCAAGGGAAGCCATTCCGAATGTTCTGAAACCTCCTTTTTTTGCAGCAACTTTGCAGCACCGTTGCATCAAATCACGACATATGAATCAGGCAGGCACACGACTTTCAGGTGTGGTGTTTCTTTCTTTTGATGGTTGTCTGGTGAGGTTAAACATTTTGTGCATCTAATTCGATGGAACTTGAAAGCCGTTTTATGCCCTTGTGGCTGACTGGAACACGGGCCTGGATTGGCACAACGCACGACCTTTAGGTTTAGGAGCTGAATCTTGTCTTTAATTAATTGTTTTGGTTTTCTTGCCTGTCATTAACTAGTCCCCCATTTGGTCCCTAATTTTCCCCGCGTGCCTCTCCGTAATGTGTCGTGGGGTTTAGGTGTGTGCGCTGTTTTTGGTCAGGTCCGTTTCGCCGTGTAGGTTGGTTCCGGAGGTCCGTCTGTTCCCCTCCCCCCCCTGCGCTGTTTTTGGCCGTCTGCCCGTCGTGTGTCCGCTTTTTTCTTCCTCTTGCCTTTCAGGGTTGACCCGGCTCCGGCCGGGTGTGTGTGTGTGTAACATCTAAATAGATGTAAAACTTCTCTCTCTTTTTCTTCCTTTGTCCTCTCCCTTTCTAATTCTAAATTCAATGCAGGGGGCCACCGGGGTCCCGGGGGGGTCGGTGGCCACCGAAGACACCCCCCCGGGACCCGTGTAAACGTACCTGCATTGTTTCGTATCTAATCTGCATGTTTCAGGATTCAGTTCCTGCCGGATCATATAATGATCCATTCTTGTCTAGTGTGTGTGTGCACCTGCGTGTATATGCACCTGTAGCATCGATATACTTGGCATTCTGTGTTTTATTGTTCCATCTGTCTACGTAAATTGAAACATGTATGTGTATATATATATATTTACATATATAGAAAGAAACCCTAAGATCTTCAGAGGTCCAAATATACACAGATCTGATACTACCAGCCCACGAAGAGGAATTCCACTACCTCAGCACCATCATGGCACCACATAGACCTCTGAAGTCAAAGAGCCCCCATCGCTATGCAGGACATAGTTTCGATTTTTTTAAATGGGTTTTAGCTATAGCAATAAGGCATCATATATTTTGGGAATTGGTCATTCTTGAGAATTACAGGACGTAAAACAAAAAAACTTTAGCAAAGGAAAGGATGTTTGAAAATTTGTCACGTCAGGCAGCCGTTGGACACAATAGTGAACACCCACAACCGACATACTATTGAGGATCAATATTGCTCATGGACTACTTCCTTAAAAACGTGTTTCTTCAGACAACAGCTGGACACAATAGAGGACCACCACAACAAACATATTTTTTAGGATCAATATTGTTTTTGAAAAAAACTGACAAAATCGAAAAAAAATAAAGCAAAAATTAAAAAATGAAAAAACAAACTCAAAAAAAAAACAGAAAAAACTTGACATAGTAGTGAACCCCCCAATCATTTACACTGGAGTTTGGAAAACTTGACACAATAGTGCATCTATGCACTAATCAGCGTCCAACATAATGCATGTCGACAATGCTACAAGCAACTGGTGGTTTTGCCCTAGAGATGACCAGTCATGACCACTCCATGTGCGTAAAAACCAACTGCAGTATCATGTTCGTACGGATTTCCCCTAAGGTTTTCCACCTCTTCTTAGTTGACAGATGAATCCACTAAATTCATTAAATCCCATATATTTTTTTTTGTCAAATCCCATTTTTCTGAGGTAAATCACCGGTTTTTTTCTTTCTGAAGTAAATCACCTGTTTTCTGAGGTAAATCGCCATTTTTGTCCACAATTTTTCCACTCCTTTTTTCGTTGACGGTAAAACGTCTGTACCGAGGCTACTATCCGGAGTCCTTAAAGGTGCTGTTCGTAGTGAATGCTCCCATGGTCTTCGTGGCGTTCCCTGGGGCGGTTGGTTGGGAGGTTGGGAGACTTCGAAGAATGCTTTAAAAAAAATGGGATTTCTAAGAAAAGGAAATTTTGTTCTTTGGAGAAAGAAATTAGTCCCATTTTCATAATTTATCCAGATATATCTATAAGTTTCTACACTGTGAGGCCCCGTAGTTATGTTTATTGGTTTAAAAACCCCATTAACTAATTTCGCTATATCCACCATAAACCATAGTTAACCAAGTCATAAACCAACTTAGTTATCGGTTTGGGGCCCCACATTGTAAGTAACAATTTGATGCAAAGTCTTGGATTTTGACTATAAAAAATCAAGAATCAGTGGCAAATAAATGCAAATAATAGATAACTTGATGTTTGATGCTAAAATCCAACAATACTGAATTGGATAAAATCATATAAAAACTAAAAACCCTTTCCTGAACTACAAAATTAAGTCTAGTTTTAAGCCAACTACAATAAGATCACCAACAATGTTCAAGACTACAAATTTGAGAATAATCCATTCCCCCATAATACAAAACGCAAATTACTTTTTTCGGTTGGGATTTGCACATATTTAAAAAGGGATGAGGGGGATGGGAATAGGTACTGGATGAAGGATGAATGGACCTCATACGGGGCTGACCATCAGCACAAGATCCTAGAAAAGAGGAGAAATGAAAGCCGGTTGCATGAGTGCAGCCCCATTTTGACTATTTTGTTTGGTCTGAACGCGTGGGAATCACCATGAAACACAACAAACGTCTTCTGGTTGCTGTGTCTCCAGATCATATTTGGGTGTGTCCCCAGTTGTGGTATAGCCCAGAATTGCCATAGGGGGAAATGATGTTCGAAAAGCCATGGAAGGTGTTTGATGGTTGTTTCACTTGGGTCTTGCCTGTTACCAATCAGCTGGACCACAAAAATGCCGCTTTCGATCAACTGTTGCTTGATGATCAGTGGGTCAGGCTTTGAAGTGAACTTACCCAAAATAGGCTAGGGTTCGATTGGGTATTATGTGGCCTATATGTGGCCTATACCTGCTTCATTGGTGATTATGGGCATTACATCACCCTATATATCGTAAAATCACCATTGTGTCCAATATGGTTGGTTTGACCTCCATCGTTGTTGCTTAGTGGCTACCCTCTGGTCATTTTTCATATAGCTTTGGAAGAAATGCCTATTAGATGATTTACATACTGTAATTTTTGAATGGTTGTTTTCCATGTCGCAAACTGTTAAATTGCTAGAGATCAATATTCCATTATATAGTTCTAGTTGTATCCCACCATTGATGCTTGAAATCAGTCCCAGTAATCGTCCCATTTAGTTATTCCATTTCACCCCCCAACCTCCACATTCCATCCCGCTGAAAATCCCATTAAATCACCATTCTCAATATGTGTTATAAGTCCCATAAGATCACCATTTTCAATATGTTTCAATTCATGAATCCCATAAAATCAACACCATAAAATATATAAAATCACCAGTAAATCACCATTTTCAATATGTGTTATAAATCCCATCAAATATATATAATCACCATTTTCAATGGTGAAATCCCATTGGAATCACCCATTTGATGCCTGGATTTCTGTGAAATCCAGGTTGTATCGCCTCATTGAGACCTGGCTCGACCCGGTGACCGCGGCAAAGATCCAAGTACTGGGTGGGGCACCAAGGATGGAAAGAAAATCCATGGCTTGTGGATGGGGATGTCTTTTGGAACAGCTGATTTTTTCCGATGTGTTTGAAATTTCTGGATGTCGATCTTTTTGATTGTGGATTTTAGTTTCGGGATTTATCGCCAGTTTACGGATGTTTAAGGCATAGAAGATAAGGGACATGCCCGACCAATTGACATTTGGAGGGTTTCACAGCCAGAACTTGCTATGATCCACTTAGGGGGCACGTGTTTGTAGATACCTACTTGAACGCTAGTTAGAAGAGCGATGGGTGGTTGGTTGATTCGGGATTTTGTAGGGGATTTCTCATTGGTCCCAGGCCTAGGTGATGAAATCGATACAATTTCCAATTAACCTCAATGCCAACTCTTCCAGAAGTCCTGCTTTAGTTGGGATTTGCTTATTTGGGGTTCCCATGTAGGGGAATATAATCTCAGGTTTAAGGGATAAATGGAAATCTATGTTTCAACATATTTCAACAATCCCGTGCCATGAAGCAGTTGGGTCCTTACTGCGCTCAGATGACTGGCGGATAAGGTTCTGCGCCGTATTTTTTGTAGACAGGTACACAAACAGTAAGTAATGTTCGTATGAAAGCATGTTTTGAGTAGCATGTTAGCCTCTCACAGGGTTGGGTTACTCTAATCTCATCTCCAAGTAATCACGACCCTTTGTTTTATTGGTTCTATTTTTTGGGAGTTGTTTGGTATTGCATGCCAAAATTGCCTTTTTGTCAGATCACTTAACATCGGATTGAATCCATTTATATGACTCATCCATTGATGTAACATAATGCAACTAACAATGTAGCCATTATTACGCATTATTATGTCAAAACCCTAGCCTTGAGCCAGCTTCTGGTGGCCGCTGTTTGGTTTTCAGTGTTCGCCAGGAACCAACTTCAAGCCAAAGCTCTTGGAACATATCGATGAATCTTGGTGGAATTTCCTTGTTGGTGATGATGGACCTTGAGGTTTAGCACCTTATCAAATTTCAACCAATGTCCTGCGTGACTTTCAAGGGGTATTTCATATAGCCTTGGATTGAAAGCAAACATTTCCCAGAGGACGATTTCGGATGACCATCCAAAAAGTGGTGAGCTTGTGTATCAGAGAATTCGCTTGCTAATTTCAATCAACTCCATAGTTCTACGCAGTAGCCCCATTCAGGTGGATTTCACCAGAAAGTAGGTCTTCTTACCCTCTTCAACATAGCCATGGCTGGTTGGTGGTGACTGGAACATGGCTGGATTATGACTTTCCCGTCATATTGGGAATGTCATCGGGCCCCAACTGACTTTCACTCCATCATTTTTCAGGACGGGGTTGGCGAAAAACCACCAACATAGCCATGATAGCCATGGAGAATTGCCCATTTTCTCCGTAGATAATGCTACCTCTATGGTCCACCGGGATGATATGACATGGGTTCCATGGCAAACTGTTGCTTCGCACTGTTGGGTTACCCCCCAAAATCCCCATGAAATTCATAGGTAGTATATCCACCTTTTTTTCACCAGAAATCCATCTAAAACAGCGTGTTATTTTTGTGTTTATTCATTGAATATGGCCATTTTGATCCCTGTTCCAAGGAACTTTGATTTTTACTACCCAGGGGTTAACCATGAAACTCTCGTAGTGTTGATTAATTATAACCCCTATTCATGTCATTTGTATATATTTGTATAACGTCCTCATAACAACCCCCGTTCATTGAATTCAGGGTTTTTATGGCTATGGCTGAGAATGAGTATACCCCAACCTGGCCATCATAGTGAAAATGAGCGGTTCAAAAAACCATCTAATTCTGGGTTTATTTTTCCCTATATGATCAGGGCCACTTAGGGGTGCAGTTCTGTTGAAACCAATGGATATTTGTAGATATACTACCATCTGGTTATGACTAACATAGCCATGGAAAATCACATTTTTTTAAAGGTAAACCCAGGTAAACCATCTATTTCTCTGGGCCATTTTCCATGGCTATGTTAAATAACCAGAGGGTATATCATTGATATATCTGGATAAATGTTAGCGAAAGAATCAACAGAGGGAACTTCGTGGGACCTGGCAGCAGCGATCAGCGGAAGTTCACCGTGCAATGAAAAGAGTCAGACAATGGAGACGTGACCCTCAACCACGTTTGTTCCTTGCTTAGATGGGCTTGCATGTTCCCTGTGAATACCACAGGAGGTCATATGGCACGGCCGAAAAATTTCACTTTTAGTCAGGTTGCGATCCGCCTCGCCAAGAGGAAAAGGATTAAATTGTAGCGACCTCACTGCGATGTCACCGGAGTGACGGTTATAGTAGCGGTAACTATCCCCATTGTGGGCCTTATTTCAGGTTAGTGGTTTGTTATATTTTATCCATCTAGACCCTCCGTTTGTACTCATAAAACTGGCGGTTTACCCCATAATACATAATCTATAATCTGTTTGCCATCTTTGGAAGTATTTGGAGGGTTTCCTGAAATAGGGATAATTACCCAAAATCATCCAAGTCATGGATAACCAGTTTAGTATTGAAACCCGTGGTGACTTTGGGCACAGTACCCCCATTTAGGAAACCTCCATATAATCATATCTGGGTAAATTACAACAACCTCACGGCGACCTCACTGGAATCATAATATTAAATAAGGGAAATCATCCCCCAATGGCCTTAATTCAGGGTAGTGAAATATTGTAATTTACCCAGATCATATGTATATGTATCCCAACTGGGGCTACCCCCAGGGTTTTCCCACCTCATGGCCTTCATCGCATCCGAGGCAGACCAGTTGCCTCGCGACTACGGCGGCACTGTGGATTTCGACATGTTGTGCGAAACCTGGTCGCGCGAGGCACAGTGGAGGGATACTCTGTGGGGGGGCCCTGTTTCTTTCATAGCGAAGTTGATGCAAAGAAGATGAAATAACTAGAAAAACTATGAAAAACTGGAGGATATAATGAATTAGTTGGGTTATAAATATAAACCAACACATAACAATGTTTTGGAACCCACTATGTAGTAATGTTTTTTGCTAATTGCGTATTGATAAACTATATATATGGAATATTTCTAGGAAAATGATGATGCCCTTTGGTTTGCTCAAATGCGGCTGGAAAATCGAACTAAATGGAGGTGTTTAGCATGCGAAAATCGACGACCTAAACGAGGGATTTCAATGTTAAGAGGCAAATGAATGGAAGTGAACATCAAATCCAGCAAAGCTATCACCCAAACCATTCCCCTGTGAATGGTGCTTCATGGCACCATTTAGTGGGCGGAGCAGTGGGTTTAATGTATCCTTGGCCCTGGCTGTCACTCACATGTCATTTGCAGCTGCTCGCGTGGTTTTCAGGAGCCTTCTCAGCGGTTGAAATAGCAGGGCACGTTTTGGCATATTTGCGGCTCAAGAGATATACCAAAAAATGTGATTTCAATTCGTGCATTTTGGTGGACGTAGTCATCATCCCACCCGATCAACGAAACCCTGCTGTGCAAACCAAATCCCACACTGACTAAAACAAAGAAGAAACCCGTGCAGGGGTTAAGTGGAGAGACTTCTCATATGGTTTCTGCCGGTGGTACTCATACAGTGCTTCTCCGGAGTGATGGCTGTGCAGTTGCTTGCGGATGGAATTTTCATGGAACATGCAACATTCCACCTTTGGATGGGGGTGTGACAAACACCCAGGTTTCTGCAGGTGGTGCTCATACAGTGCTTCTCCGGAGTGATGGCTGTGCAGTTGCTTGCGGGTGGAATTTTAGAGGAGAATGCGACATTCCACCTTTGGATGAAGGTGTGAAATACACCCACATTTCTGCAGCTAGCACTCAATCAGGATCTTCGCTTTCTCATTCTGCTGCAAGAACAAGTTCTTAAGCAAACTCTGCACGGAGTGGCAGAGTTTGCTTGAGAACTTGTTCTTGCAGCAGAATGAGAAAGCCGGGATCCTGGTGCAGTGCTGGTGCACCAAATGCTTCACGCAACTACAGGCGATGAGGCAGTGTAAAAGATGTGCCGTCCAAGCAGCTGCTTTGGGAATGAACAATTACGGAGTATGCAACATTCCACCTTTGAATGAGGGTGTGACATACACCCAGGTTTCCGCAGGTGGTTGGCATACGGTGCTTCTCCGCAGTGATGGCCGTGCAGTTGCTTGCGGACATAATGCTCACGGAGCATGCGACATTCCAGAGTTGGATGAGTGTTTGACATACACCCAAGTTTCTGCTGGTGGTAAGTACCACACAGTTCTTCTCCGAAGTGATGGCCGTGCAGTCGCCTGCGGAGCTAATGTCTACGGAGCATGCGACATTCCACCTTTGGATGAGGGTGTGACATACACGCAGGTTTCTGCAGGTAGTCAGTACCATACAGTGCTTCTCCGAAGTGATGGCTGTGCAGTTGCTTGCGGAAAGAATCTTTTCAAGGAATGCGATATTCCATCGCTGGATGAGGGTGTGAAATACACCCAGGTTTCCGCAGGTGATTGGCATACGGTGCTTCTCCGAAGCGATGGCGCTGCAATTGCTTGCGGACGCAATGATCACGGAGAATGTGGAATTCCATCTCTTAAGTCTTGGAGTGAGTGGTTTCGCGGTCAGTCCCCAAGTCTTTGTTACATGGTTACATTCCTGATTTGAAGCCGCTTGGGGGAAAACCAGGGCGTGTTTTGCAACTTTGCTTGAATCATGAGGCTGATGCCATCATTCTCACATGTTTGGGTTTGGACGGGCTTGAAGTACTGCGCTTAAGGGCCAGTGGAGCTGACTTAGCTGCGGAGGTTTCCAGTCAGCTTGCATTGCAGGCTGATGAGCAACAGCTTCGTGTTGTCTTGCCCGATGGGCAGTTGTTAGAGGCAGTTTGCGCCGCATATCCATCTGTCACACTTGCGAGTCTCTGTTTGAAGCATGAGAAGGCGTGAAAAGAAGCCTGCAGATGCCGGATTTACGTGGTATCCATTTGTTGGTTCCATCGCTTTTTGAAAATGAAGCATTTTGATTTGTGATGTATTTTGATGTATTTTGTTCTCTCTCTTCCTCTCCCTCTCTATTATAATACATCATACTAGTATTTACATATTGCGCACAGACACATGTTCAATGATTTTAGTACAAGCATAAACACACGTGGGAGCGTTGTCAGAGATATTGATATTGAGGTTTTCCTTTGACTGAAATTGTTCCTCGTAAATGATGATCAAGCTCCATGCCACTGGGTTGTGATTCTTGATTCGGATTCGAAGCTTTTAGAGCTGTTTTAGCAGAAGGTGATTGTTGGAAAATCCACCATTCGAATATTGGGTTTGATGATTTCTTCCACTCAAATGCGCATGTTTGGAGAATTTCCAAGCCAGGTTTCCTTGTTATGTAATTGCCATTGGGGCAGTATAGCCTGTTTTCAGACGCAGCCAGATATCATGCTGTTGGTTATACATATATATATACGTATGTATAGATATCCCGTAATATCCGCATGGAAAGGTTGATCATGTAGATGTAGTCGTCCTGGAGTAGACAGAATATGGACCTCTCAAACATCCTTACCACCGTGGGAGTATCCACACAAAAAGCTACTATATTCTATCTACTCCAGGATGCTTATATAGACCCATTTAAAAATATATACATATACACAAAGGTGAGGCCCCCAGGCATTCACTGGTTTGTAATCCCATCGAAGTATATAGATATATCCCCAACAAAGCCTACTTAGCCAAGTTTTAAACCAGCTTAGCTATCAAGGGGCCCCACCTCGTAAATATCCAATTTATAGTACCTACTTGTCCACCAAAACAACATAGGTCCTGAACATAGAATAACGTAGACATGGTAGTTGAAAGTCATCATCAAAAAAATGGCAGGGTCTACGTGAATTTGGGAGGGTTGTACCATGTTATTTTGAGCCTAGCACCAGATGGGTGTTTCCATAAATGAGGGTATCCCAAAAATGGATGGTTTATTTTGGAAAATCCCATTAAAATGGAGATGATGTAGGGGTACACCCATTTTAGGAAACCTCCACATGGGGTTAGGAAACATGATGGGGGATTTTTGGGATTAGATAGACATATATCATATATATATATATGTATGTATCTCAATAAATTATCACAGCCTGGTATAACGTTCCCCTAGATCTTCGACCCCAACATTCCACCAGGACTGCGAACGTTACTTCAACAGCTGCCATCGGGTCCTGCGTCCAACTGGTGATGTATCGCCCTGGAGCCCAAGTGAGCGCGACAACAGCGCTGCAGCTCGGTGCTGGGCCAGGGCCAAGTCAGCATGGGTTTCAAGACTACCCTCTGGTAAACATAGAAAAACTGTGGAAAATCACCATTTTAATGGGTAATTCCACTATAAATTGCCATTTTCAGTAGCTTTTTGTATGTTTACCAGAGGGTAATTTATGATCATCTATGAAGACTGGATGAAAATAGGGGCATCCCAATGACTTAGGAAACCCCCAAGCCTCTTTTATAATTTCTTACCGTTTGCTTTGGTAAAACATGATAAAATCATGGCTAAATCATATGCAAAATAGGCATGGCTTCCATTCCGAACTAAAAAAGTACCGGAGAGTAGTGTCATGGAAAGCTCGGGGGTTGCTTGTGGTAACGCCATCTATATACAAAACACGGAAACACTGGGACTATCATGAGATCATAAAATATTATTCCGGGATGTTTACCATTGGCCAACTGGGGATTTGGATTTGCCATTTACCATCCACAGTATCATTGCAGAAGCAGCAAACACACTGGGTTATGAAATAGAATGGAAAATCGATGTGCAATGTCCACAGATCACTTGTGCACCAGAAGCTAAGGGTTAGAATAGAATGGGATGTAGAAATATCAAAGACAAGGCTTGATGACTTAACTTAGCTAACCTACTTAACTTCTTGAAACTCCAGCATTCTTTCGGGCGACCCATTTCTGATTTCGATCCCGTTGAGGACAAGAACTTTCCAATGCCCAGCGACTTGGGTGGAAAGTTCCCACATGGGACGTGGTTCAACGGGAAGATCAATAAATGGAGACGGGAAATATATCCCTGAAATAATTGTCCTTTTATAAACCTTCATTTCATTCATAGATCAGATTTATAGCGGATTTTTCATGGATATTCAAATGAAATATGAATTAAACGAAAGTTTGGAAATGTTTGATGGATCCAGACGGTATTTGGATCACACTGCGATCTAACCATGAAGCATGGTGACTTAAGCAAGACAAATCATGGTACAATGCCGGTCATTACGAATATAATGAATGATATATAGTGATCATGATGTTGGATGTAATGATGTCGTAGTCAAAAGTTGGATTTACCCTCCCGTAATTTCACAGTTTGATATGGAAAATGGCCTATTTAGTTCAGTGTTTTTACGTATAAGGAATGATTTTACAATAGTTGTGTCGAGTTATCAAAGATCGCCATGGGAAATAATGATGAAATGGGAGCCGACGGAGTCCACCAACTGGAAACAATGTTGGGCAATGACTGCCCGTATTGGTGATGGTCATGCCTCCATGAAAAACGGGACTTCCAATGGCCAATATCAGGAACCCTTAATGATGGTGGGATCATGGTACCCTATACTGTATCCCAGCACTTCAAACATGCAATACTAATCATATAGATGTATTGATAATATAGATAGATAGATAGATAGATAGATTTGTTGATAACATATAATGCAATATAAAATAACCCTTAAAAATATTAATGCAATATAATAAAATAACATATAGTATAATAAAACAAAAGAGTATTTAATATAATTTAATTTACTATATGTTTAAACCTTTTAATTTTTAAGAATATATATATATATTGTTTAAATACAATATGCCCTAACAGAATATAATATGATTTAATAGAATTTAATTTAACATAAAAAATATAATACAATATAACATAATAACATATAGTATAACAAAACATTTTTTCAAAACAAATATGTAATGTAATTTACTCTTATATAATATAACATCATATAATATCATTTAATGTCATATAATATCATATCATATCAAATAATTTATTTACAAATATATATATATGATTTGGTGACATGTGATGATAAGCCAATGATGCTGGGCTTTGGAAATGATAACTACTTCAACACGTCCCCGGTCTTTGCTCGACTTTGATGCCTGCAGAGCCGGGTCGGAATGAATCCCCCAGGGGCATCATGAGTATCATCCTTGTTGATCAGGGGTTTGGTAAATGTTTCTTTTTGGGGAGTATTTTCAGAGATGAAATGTATCACTTTTACGTGGGTGATTGTTAAAAGATCAGGACATTGACCAACCCTTTATTGATGAATCTGAAACCCAAAAAAGGTCATACCACATTGTCATCTCCCCAACAATAAGTGGTTTAGCAATCCCATTCTTCATGGTCATCAAGACCGTACAGAGCGGGTCGTTGTTTTCTCTCTCCTCCGAGACACTTTCTGCGAAAATTGGGAATTGGGTCGAAAAAAGGAAAACAAACACTGATCTGTGAATCCAAATTGTTCTCTTCACTCCGCAAAAGACTTGGCTGATCACTTGGTGGTGTCATAGAACCTGTAAAACATGGAAGTGGAAATCTATGTTAGTATACCCCAGGGTATTTGCTGAGTTTGATTCCTACTTTGTAAGATGCCCCTCGTTTGACTCGGACTTACTACATTTGGATAGAATTGACATGATTTGTCTACTATGTTTGAACTCAACCAAGGGTGTCTCAACCATGGCCCATCCCTCAATCATACAACATGGTTCCAAAATCAATATCAAGTCCAGTTACATTGTTGCATGTTCTGTGTGTTTTTCAGATATGGATGTGGAGATGTCGTTTTCTCACCGCCACCGAGCAAGAAAACAATCAACAATCTATCTTTATTAGGGTCTGTTTCAATGAAAATAGGCTACCCCTAAAAATCCACTGGACAATCATCATCTACAAATTGCACCGAATTGCTGCTTGTTTTAAAAACCCAGGATATGTCGTCGTGGTGATCGTCTTCTTCGCCTTCTTTTTGTCTCATTGTATGTGATGCCAAGCTGTTTGTAACCTGGTGGGCAACCCAAGGAAACTGGTGATGTCGCTGAAAAAAAATGGTTCGAAGGGGGCTTTCGTCAAATGACAGGAGTTTCTTCAGCACCTCAAGTGGTGAATTGGTCGTAATTGATCCGTTTTTTTCGTCACCTGAAGAAGCGGTTGACTGCTCAAAGAAAGGTGATTTGGATAGAGGACGTATTCAAAGGAACTCAGTCTCTTCACAGGGTGATGGCTTTGCATACCCTGAACCATCTAAAATGAGGATTGAAGTATCTAAAATGGGGATGGGGATGTAAAGGGGATAATAGGTATGGAACCAACTGTGATTTGTTTTGTATATTTTTTTTCTGGCTGGCTTTGCTCTCCTGCTCTCTTGGCGTTAGAGGGCACCAGCTGGCTGGAAAATCCCCGAACTAAATCGAGGTTTAGGTCGCTAGGAAAATCATCGAACTAAATGGAGGATTTTCCAGCAAGCCACGGAGCTGATTGCCGGAGGTTGCAGCTTTTCCAGCTTGACCTAAGATGACCCAGGGTGGTATGGAACAACAAACTTACCCCAGATAATTGAAACATATTGGCCATGGCCCCTATATAGGCAGGTCATATGATTCAAGTGGAGGACCAGGCCAAGAAATGCTTGGAAGATGAACCTTTTTCCCCACTTCACAGGTGAGGGTCTCTAGATTTTAACGAAGGTGCAGCTCCTCCGCCTCCTTCTCCGTCACTCTTCCTCGCTTCCTCCTTCGGCAAGCTTGTTGTCACTGTGGGCACCAACGGACCTTGATCTCACAGCAAGTGCCAGCTCAAGTGGAGTAGTCTTGCCCCAGAAGCTCCACGGCTGTCTCGGCACACACAGACCGTCACAGACCCGAGACCTATGGCAGTCTGGGCATGCGGAGACCCAGAGCCTATAGGGAGCTCCAGCTCAGCATGGCCAGCCAGAAAGAATGTCAGAATACCTGCCAGATAGAATGTCAGTTTCTTTGCTAGATAGCCTGATAGAATGTCAAAGCATATGCCAGGAAGGATGCGAGATAGAATGTCAGAATGGATCCAGATAGAATTCCAGAAATAAATAATGCCAGACAGAATGTCAGAGTATATTACAGAAAGAATGTCAGATAGAATGTCAGAATATTATTATACAATATTATATATATGCCACACGTACATCCAGACGATGTGTCAGAATCATTTGTCACGCTGGATCACTCGAAGTAAAGTTGCCTCTTCGATTGACGCTGTTGGATTCGGTGTTTGGACCTGTTCTCAAGGGCAAAAAAACAACTGTTTTGTGGTTTGGAACATTGTTTATTTTCCATAGTATATGGGAGAATCCTTCCCATTGACTGATATTTTTCAAGATGGTTAAAACCACCAACCGGACAAGATTAGACCCGTGAAGAATCACCAGTTGGTCCACCTTCTCGGCGCACCCGAAATCGAGTGCTGCCATTTGTCCGGTGGGCCTGCGGCGGTAGATCTAATGGGGCCTCGGACCAGTTGGGTCTAGTGACTACCCGGACTAGGCCCAAAAAAATGAATGGATCAAGACTAATGATGTGAAATGGGATTGATTCATGGTGTATATATATATATATTATCAACATAGTGAGCATCTAGTGAGCTTAATTTGAAATAACATGAAGGTGACCAACATGTTTGGTTCCAAGGAACTGGGATATCGAAAAGGCCTTCTGGGCTGGCGAGGTTCATGGTTTTACCCAAAAACGTGGGTATCGAAGATGATCCTTGTCAAGGCACTTGTATGCTAGTACATTGATATTACATCAGCCGGGGTTATGACTTAGCTATGCTGTAGGAAGCACCAAGTAGCTCTTTAAACAAACATCAAGTTGCTTCAGCCGCGAGTCTGCCTGGGCCCCAAGTTGGGCGCACCGCGAGTTGCACGCGACCCAGCGGGCTTCCGTATTGGCATCATGACAGTTGGAGGCTTCCTCCAATGGTACCCCAAAATGGATGATGTATAAGTAGAGAAAATATCATTGCTAAAATGGATGTTATCCGGTACAACCCCATGATTTGGGAGTGAAATGTGAAACCATGTTGAGCCATATGATATGTCTCATCATCCCATAGTCTTATAATATGATCTATGATCTCTATCGGCTTTCTGAAAATTAATCTGGGTATGGCTCAAGATTGCCACCTGGAAATGGATGGAAACCTCAACCACGAACCTCAGCCAGTCACTACAGCCATAATATGCCCCGTGATATTTTCCATGAACATATAGCAAGAACCTGGAGTTCTGTAGATGGCTATAGGCAACAAATGCTGCAGCCCTTGGGTTGGTGTATGTTATATGTTCAACAAAAAATAGGTTCTGAAAATAGACTGTCCCCAAAACCATTGGTTTACCATCATCTTCCCAATCTTCCTTTTTAAAATTGGCCATGACTTGATGGTATCCCCCCATTTCCACGCGTTGTTGATGCTGAACCCAGCACATTATGGGTCTAAAGCTCCAAAAGATCTGGGTCATTTGGGGCTTACTGCGATGACCCAAAAAGATTGAAGAGTTCTTCCAGGATGGTATGATATGTAAACCTCACAATCACCAGATGTTCAACTTATCTATTTATTTTGGGGTTGCCATGCTGGTTCATGGATCATCCCAATAATTTGCTAACTTGACCCCGGTAATTCATGACAAGGGATGATCCAGTAGCTGCTACCGCACTTGATCCAATCCTTCAGGACAACCCCAAGTTTTATTGTGATTGTTTACGTAGATGTGGAAAACCCACCATGAAAGTAGATCCATTTTTCCAGGGAAACCATGTTTTTTTTTCATATTTTTCTGTGTGTTTACCCTAGGCTAACAGGTTAGTACAGTAGCCAAACACATGAGTTGACCCTCGAGTAACATCTCCAAGTCTTGTAAGAGGCCATCCCAGTGGAAGCCATGCCCAGCGAAAAAGGGGCCCCAGGGGTTCCCCGGGCCGTAGCCACGCAAGGAAACCGGCGCCATGTTACTGAAACCAAAACGCTGCGCAGGGGATTGGTACAGCTGTGTGCAGTTTGGATGAGAATCTCATGGGTGTCAAGCTTAATAGGAATGACGATTGTGACACACTACGGGTGGCTAGTTGTTGCGTGTTTCGCAAAGTGGTTCTCTGGTCGAATCAGATGTTTACCTTTGCTGACAAATCATATTTTTGTATATGAAAACGACCGGTAAAGAAAAAACAAATACCTCTAGTACGACAAGAATGAATGACACAACTGAGTAAACAGTAGGACCCCCCCTCTGCCATCGCTGAATATCTACTAGGGGGTCTATCTTCTGGCAGATATGCAGATATGCAGATATGCAGATATGCAGATATCATCAGCATCATCACCATCACCATCATCATCAGAATCATCATCACCATCACCATCTTCATCCCCATCATCATCATCATCATCATCACCATCACCATCGCCATCATCATCACCATCATCATCATCGTCATTACCATCACCATCATCATCGCCATCATCATCATCATCATCAGCATTATCGCCATCACCATCATCATCACCATCGCCATCATCATCACCATCGCCATCATCATCACCATCATCGTCATCATCACCATCATCATCGTCATTACCATCATCATCGTCATCACCATCATCATCGTCATCGTCATCATCATCATCATCATCGTCGTCATCATCATCGTCATCACCATCATCATCATCATCATCATCACTGGTTGTTTGTTGGTTTAATTGACTTCTCAATGTGCAACGATATTTGGGATAATGATTCCCAGTCACCAATGAATGACAATATAACCTTTTTCAGATGGATGGCTCAGCCACCAACCAGATTGATGTCATACTTCCAAGCAAATGGTTTTTGCTGTCTTGCTCCAAGCCGTTATCGGCAGGATGTAATCAGTGAGCTGTCGCATGGCTGGTGATCTAAGCACAAACGTCGCAACAAGAAAAGAGTCTAACAAGCAGAAATGGAGTACACCCCAACTCAACATAGCTCAACAAACTAACCAAAATGAACACTGTTCTTGAAAAACTCTGGAAAAAAGTGCTTCGTTTCATTGCCATCTCAGCTATGCCGAGCGGATTCGGCGGGCTCTTGGGTGGTGAGGGGCAAAATCACAGGCGCACCTGATAACTGACATGGAACCCGGCAGGGGTTTGGACATGGTTCGAAGATGTTTGAAGATGCTTTGTTCCGCTTTGGAAATAGGCATCAATTGATATGTGTTTTTTTGATCATGTTATTTTTTTGGTTCCAGTTTTTTTTTCTGGTTCCATCTTGGATTCCCGTTAAATAGGTCCTTGTGGACAGGTGGGAGCATGATCCCAGGAACCCCCCGTATACGTATTGTTTGAACTTGAATGGAGTCCCTTGCAAGACAGGACATGGAAAATTAACTGGCAAGAGGACAGCGATCACGCTCACTTCATGCATTTGGTTGCAGAGACTCGAGAAACTCATCTTAACCCGTGATATTTTCTTCTCTCCTCTGGTGTGTGCCTTGCTCTTTTCAACAGGTTGCAGCTGTCATTTCAACATTTGGATGTGCTGCCATATGACATGGGTCTACTTACAGGGCCAGATTCGTTGATTTGGGAATATCCTGATGCCTGTTGCCGATGAAATCTTCATTTTTGTTCGTGAAGTTTCCATTGTTCCTGGCATCTCATTTTTAAATTACTGTATATTTTATTCCTACACCGACTGGCACCTAAAGATCAATGCCATACCATACCTCTTTCTATGCAGGGATTTGTGTAGGACTTTAGCCAATGTGTAATATCATCACCCAGTATATATAATATAATATATTAAAATCATCCCCAATATGATAAACCTACCATGACCATGGATGCAGATTTTAAATCCTCGCCCCGGCCCTTGTCCAGCTACAACTATGGTTGCAGGAGCTGGGAACGATGAAGGGATTCCTATGAAGCACTGGGACTATCATGGGAGATCGACCTGGCTCTACAGGTGCTTTCATTTAGCGGACCACCCCCCCAAAAAAAAACTGCAATTAGCGTGTTTTATCTTGATCATGTAGATGGATAGATAATGCATATATATATATATAGATGTATCATATGCTATAGTTTTATCATGTTGATCATGTTAGTTTTGCAGTTCTTTACATGTAGAACATATGTAGATAATAAATAGATGTGTGCAACCCGTGGAACCGCATTAAAGAAACGGCTTATCTAGTCCCTGAAAACCTAGTCCGTCTATATGGTAATCTAACAAGGAAATAGAAAATCACAATTTTTGTCAGTGGACAAATCATCTACAGAATGTCGTATTATTCCTTAAGTTTGAGATAAATCAACATGTTTTTCTTCGATGAAATGTTCCAAAGACTTAGGTGAGTCACTGAGTTGGTAGCCACGATTGTATTCGATGATTTTCCCATTCGCATGCCCATTTTCTTCAGGGATTTCCCTACCACCCATAGCTATAAATCGCCCATAAGGTGAGCAACCCCTAGTGATAAGTTGGTTAACCCCATTAGCTCTTGTCATATCCCCCATAAACATCCATAAACCCTAGTCACCGGAGTTATGTTCACAAACTATGATAGCCACATTGGTGGCACTTCCGCAAAAAAAACGGAAAATCTCCTGGCTTTCCGCGCAACGCGTTCCGCGAGGACCGGCAAGTTCCAGGCCTTTGGCTATGTCCGTGGCCATCCCAGTGGTGACATGAACAACGCCCCCACGTGCGCGTTGACGCGCTGCCAAGGCGTAGACGTAGAAAGAGGAGCTGTGAAGATTCGATGACCCAAACCTTTTTTTGGCATCTTAAGAAACTTTTGAGGAGTTTTTCGAAGCTGTCCATGAATGTTGCAAGAAACTATAAGAAACTCTATTTTGCTGGCGAAATAGATTCTTTTCGAGCATTCCACTGAAAAAAGTCTGAAAACCAACTCAGTGCGGATAGATCTTCGCAACTTTGATTCCTCTGCCATTGGCATCTAGACCTCCCTATCCGACGACAGGTACCAAATGACACGGCAGTGGGGTCATGACTTTGCCGCGATGAGGGTGACGCTCTACAGGATCGGTCTCCCAATGGAAAACCACCAAAATCCAATAATTTATCAGCAGTTTTCCTATTTGGGGGCCCCCACTCACCACTCCACTTTCAGACGCATCGGTGGACTTTTCATGGATTTCATCACTATTATTGGATCATTTTTCGATCTCCCAGTATTTTTCAGTACTTGGAGCATGTCCACCTATTTGAAGATAGCTCGGGAACTTGGAAATCGGGATGTTTCAAAGTGCTTTTCGTAGTGGGCCGCTGATGATTGATCCTGTGCAGTGGGGACGTCACTGGGATGATGATGGCGGAACTTTTTCAGCTTGGTGATTTTTTTGGTGGTTTTCCAACAATGCCATGTTTACCACCCATGACTGGGAATGGTTTATACCATCCATTTATGGTGATTTTGAGGTTTATTATTGTTTTAACCACATTACTGGATTTGTTCCAGAGGAACATTGGGATATTCCAAACACCGAGCTTTCGAGTTGGATGTGGTTGCGGGAAATCCCTGAACTAAATGCTACCCTCCGGTAAACGTTTACCAAAAAACGATGGAAAAATCCATTTTTTTTACAGAACAGTGGATCTTTTTTTTGGGGTAATTCAATGATTTCTATGGCAATTTTCAATAGCTATGTTAAATTACCAGAGGGTAGTTTTAATGGGAAAATCATCCATAGATGGTGGATATTCAATTGCCACATGTGACTACTGGATGGTAATTCGATATAGGTAGACACCACCAAGCCGCTTCCTATTTATCATCACTGTTCTGGGCAGGATCATTAATTTACTCACTATGTTGCACCGTTCCTTTTAAGTGGTACTGATACACTCTTATGTTCTTAAATATTTGATCGTTAAAACATGTTAAAACACTTCTCATTGTTTGGTCATCACCCATCATTGCAGAAAGCTGGCATGGCAATTTCAACCTACGCCAGGACCAGTCGAGCTGAATATGAGCACAATGCCTTTCGCCATGCCCAAGGTGCTGGGCTATACGTGGGCGTCATGTGGAATGTCCCCCCATAACGACCCAGGAATCAAATATGGCAATGGACAATCCCTTAGATGTAGTTAGCCTATATGGGATAATCCTTCCCATTGACTAGATTTAGTTGGCCGTATTTAAGATGGCCGGGTATTGGGAATTCGAGAAATGCGGGGTGCTGAATCAAGATGGCGGGGTGACAGATCAAAGCCGGATGTGTGGCGGTAAACATGCCGGTCAATCCCATGTGCTTGTGCGTGTCGGTATAGAACATCGCAAGGAATCGATTGTTTTTCTTCAATGGTTCATGAACAACTACTGATCTGACAAAATGCTGCAAGTAGACAACGGGTCAAAGCGAAGACGTCCAAAACTAGGTAGAGGAACATCCCCAAATAATCTCATAATAAGGCATAATAAACCTCAATGCCTTGAGGTAATTCATATGTAATCATCAAAACATATTTTCAAGGCTCCAACTCGTAGGGCTTGTTTGACGGTTTAATTTTGGGTGTACTGTACCACATTTCTGGATTTGCCTGGATTTCAAGATTTGTTCTGCTTCATTGTCTCGGAAGCAGGGTTTAACTCAAGTGAATTTAAGTGAACAAGGGGTTCTCCAACCCAACCGAGATCTTGGGTGTAGAATGGACCGTCCATGTGAAGGTGTTTGGGCCCCGAAACTAATGGGTCAAGGCCTTGTGATGTGATGCTTCAAGCAGATTGAAAGCTGCAACGGCAAACCATGGATGAGATGCTGGGCACGGTGCAGCCACTGAATCCACAACGTCCTGTGCCGCTGGGCGACCGGAGCGTACGGGGTCGCCCCAACGCCCCCCCCGACGGAACCCCCGCCGCCCGCCGCGGCGGCCAGCGATGGTGGTAGCGGAGAACAGAAGACGAAGAGGAGCTTCCGGGTGTCCTCCCTGATGTTCGACTTTACCTCTCCTCGTGAAAGTTGGGGCCTTCAAAGAGTGAAACAAGTGAAGATCTCCGAGACTAGGTACTGGCGCTGATAGCGGACCCAGTGTTTTTAATGATTTTGATTTCAACCATTCTTCAATATTCTTCATTGATTTGTTTAAAACTGTGGCGCCGTGACGATTTTGTTGTTTTGCTTCAATTAGAAATGGTGTTTTCGTCCCACGTTACGCTAGGAATCTATTCATTGATCATTGAATTCTATTGGGCTAAATAATTTGCAAATGTGGATTTGGAAAACGGAATGGAAGACGGCGTTTTGTCCTCTTCCTTTTCTCTCTTCATGGGTTCAGCGTCTGCGTTTGTTAACCTTAGCTGCCAGTTTGGCGAGAATTCCTTTCAAGTCTGCCTTGTGGCTCCAACGATGGGCGAAGGACCACACATACTGTTGGATTCTTTGAGAATCCTTTTTGGTAACCTTGTCTTTGCTATGGACGGAGAAGGGCACGAAGCGCTTCAGTTGCATCGTTGCATCGTGATCAACCATCATGTGTCAGGTATGTTTCAATCCAATGAACAAACAAAAGAAACTATGACATAAGTGATGTACGATCCAGACATGATAACAGCCTCTACTCTTGGGAACCCATGGTGTTAGCGGTAGAATTTTTATGGGTCCGATGTCCTGTAAGCAAAATGATGTGAAACTCTCAACTCTCAAGTGTCAACTTTACACGTCTTACTTTATTCACCTGAAAAAAGAAAGACAAGAGACAGTTACAGCGTAGCATCAAAACCGTGTGGCAAGTGACAAGAGACAGTTACAGCGTAGCATCAAAACCGTGTGGCAAGTGACAAGAGACAGTTACAGCGTAGCATCAAAACCGTGTGGCAAGTGACAAGAGACAGTTACAGCGTAGCATCAAAACCGTGTGGCAAGTGACAAGAGACAGTTTCAGCGTAGCATCAAAACCGTGTGGCAAGTGACAAGAGACAGTTACAGCGTAGCATCAAAACCGTGTGGCAAGTGACAAGAGACAGTTACAGCGTAGCATCAAAACCGTGTGGCAAGTGACAAGAGACAGTTACAGCGTAGCATCAAAACCGTGTGGCAAGTGACAAGAGACAGTTACAGCGTAGCGTCAAAACCGTGTGGCAAGTGACAAGAGACAGTTACAGCGTAGCATCAAAACCGTGT